ATTCCCCAAAACCCCCCAAACACCTCCCGGGGGGGGGGGGGTGTTGGTAGAGAGAAGGAGGAAGGAAGAGAGAGGAGGCACATACCTCACGACCAAACTTGTTCTCAACCTTTTCGGCCAGAATCTTCTTGCTCACCCACTTGGCGACAAGACTGGCCATGGTTGCGAGTGTGCGTGGTGAAACGCTGCGGCGTGGCAACGACACTGAATGACTTCCCTGGATCGACTTCCTGATGAGCTGTTGGGTTGAAAACCGGGGTTGGCCGTTTGTTCGACGCGGGACAGAGTTGGTGCTATGTCTTCCAGAGCAAAGCAACCTGGATCGAGGGTTGCGGTGTGGAGAGTAGGGGAGGAACAACGTCCAAGATATTGTCAGCTTGGGGAGGAAAAGTGTCGATGATTTAAGTATTTAGACAAGCATTGAGGGCCAGAAAGGTCATGCAGGCAGGGTCCGAGTCACCACTGACAAGTTGCGTCTCGACGTAAGGTCGGATTCGAGTGCCCAGAATTCCTGTTTTATCAAGTCAGGGGACCAGCCAACGATCATGATGTAATTCTGTCGGTCACTGCACGCCAATGCACCTTGAACCATCCCGAGAGGCCTCTCCAGTGGGGCTAGAGCAGGCTAAGTCACTGTGTTTCACATCATGCTGCAGCGACATGGCTGTAAGGCCTTAGCAATTGTACGACCCGACTGGCCAGCAAAAGTCGCTGAAAGCTGAGGTGGTGGCCGCTTCTGCCAGCCCGTGACGGCAGGAGGAATTGGACCTAGGTACCTTAACAGGACGGGAGGGCCTGGCGGGGCAAGGCCCATGTTCAGCCACGCAAGTGTGGCAAGTGTGGCAAGTGCCCGACCGCTTGGCCACGACAACCAAGGTGGCTTGGTAGGTTTCTCCAGATCGTCAGGTCTCAGATGAGTGGATATCGACCTCTCGGGTCTTTTCCGGGACAGATACACGTTGTCGATGGGGAAAAGTCTTGAAAGGAACTGCTTGCTTTGGCATGCGGATAGGTGTATTGGCACACGTCCTTCTAAGAAGCAACCTTGGTGTCTACTAGAGAACCGGTGCAGACCGGATGGAAATTGGGCTGTGTTTGACAGTGCACAAATGCTGCTTGTATGCACTGTATCTTCTCTCTGACTGTGGTGTTTTAGACAGTGCGAACTGACCATTTGCAAGGTCGGTCCTTCCAGCCAATCAGCTCCGCCCGCAAGTCGAGCTTCCCGCCACACAACATCTGCCACGTCCGTCCCACCTTCTCCCCTGGACCTGCCAGAGCCCTGCTCTTTACTGGTTGCACCCTGTCCATCGTCAACAAAGAGTGTAATGCAATGTTTCTCCGCCTTTGCTCAACTCCAACTCCATAACCGACCATCGAGAGGCCGCTCGTCAACTATCCCTTGAGGTTCCGTCTCAGCACCTTTCGACTGCGCCTCAGCCACGAGTGAACGTGTCCCTCAAACCGACCTTATTCCTCCAGTTCGATCCATCGCTTACCTACCCGCCGTGGCCGATTCCAGCTGCAGGCGCATTCCGGTCGCAACCGGGAAGCTTCGAACCTGAGCCTCAGCCTGAGCCGCTACCCAAATCACCCACCCCGTACCATGCTATTGCTGCACCTCGTCTTGTATCCTACACATACTCGTCGCCAGGAGCTTTTCTCTACCCCATTCACACCGTCCGGTACTGGCGACTAAGACTTAGTATCAACTTTTCCACGGACATGGTCCTGACCGCCACCCAAAATGGCCGAAGAAAAGATGCAGCTGGAGGATTGTATGTTTACCCCACACCACACCTCGAACAAACTGCCTGTGGCCGCAGCGAGCCAGCTTTGCGCCTGATCCCCTCATTCTTTTGCAAACGAGGCTGACACATAATAATCGCAGGGTTGGACGACCTCTGCGTTCGTTTCATCATCAACCTGCCTGAAGAAGACCTGTCTTCGGTTGCACGCATATGCTTTCAGATCGAGGAGGCGCAATGGTTCTACGAAGATTTCGTCCGGCCGCTCGACCCTACACTTCCCTCCATGACCCTTCGAAGCTTCAGTCTCAGGATATTCCAACACTGTCCTCTACTGGCACCATTCTCAATCGAAAATCATACCAAGGCTTTCGAGGAGTTCTTGCAGTACAAGACGAGAGTTCCCGTGAGAGGAGCAATCCTGCTAAACGAAGCCATGGACTCGACTATCTTGGTCAAAGGATGGAAGAAAGGTGCGAACTGGAGTTTCCCTCGCGGCAAAATCAACAAGGACGAGGACGATCTCGAATGTGCCATTCGCGAGGTATACGAAGAGACGGGTTACGACTTGCATGGTGCCGGCTTGGTACCTGAGAACCGAGACGTAAAGTACATTGAAGTTACCATGAGGGAGCAGCAGTTGAGGCTCTACGTCTTCCGCAACGTGCCCATGGACACATATTTTCAGCCCCGAACGAGGAAGGAGATCAGCAAGATCCAGTGGTACAAGCTGTCGGAGCTTCCAGCTTTCCGAAAAAAAGGTGCTCAGAATCAGAACGACGCGGCCGCGGCTGCGAATGCCAACAAGTTCTACATGGTTGCCCCGTTCCTGGTACCCCTCAAGAAATGGGTCGTGCAGCAGAAAAAGAAGGACGCTGTCAAGGTCGCTAGTGAGCAGCATTTCCAGCCTCACCCGCTCCACGACGAGCTCGTGACCGAGGATGATGTATGGCAAACGGAGCCGGTCACGGACGCTTCTACGCGAACGCCTGCCTTGGATACCTTGGAAGGCGCTACTAAAGAACTGCAGCGTCTTCTGAAGGTACAGCCGGCAGCGGCGCAAGCCATTTCGGTTCCTGTATCTTCGAATGCCGGTGGAGATAAGGGTGCATCGTTACTCGCCATTCTACAGGCCAAGAGTAGGGATTCTTCCCAAGCAGTCCCGGCCGCTCAAGTTCCTCATACACCGCTCGATCATACCATGGCAGAGATGCCCTCCCAACCGCGTAGCCCCCATGGCCAGCATCATCCTCAGCAACGGGCACCGCTCGCAAGCTATCAGGCTCCACCCGGCTTTCCAGTTGCGCCAGACGGAACGCCGCAGCAATGGGCCTTCTCCCAGTCTGGCAATGCCGGCCTGGGCACTCAGACCAGACAGCATGACCCATTGCTTGTCAATGGCCTTGCCTACGGGCACCCGCAGCCCCCTCTAAGACATCCGCAACCGCTTCCCCCCCAAGTCCAGAAGTCCTTACTAAGTAGAGGGGCCTTCGTCGACACAACGACACCTCCCCCGCCCAAGCGTGCGCAAGGAACGGTAAACCAGACCGTGGTTACGACGCAGTATCAACAAACGCAGTATCAGCCGCAGCAAACTCAGAACATGTTATATCAACCAAAGCCTCCTGCTGGTCAGCTTTCGAACCAATCTTTGGCGCTTCTCGGAGTTCTCAAATCCGAGACGAAGGATGTCGATCCGGATGGGACTCAAGCTCATTCTGCACAGTCATACAGCCAATCTTCACCGGTATCTATTCAACAGTCAATGCATGGGCAGGGAATTGTCCAGGCGTACGGCCAACCGCAGCTCCTGAACGCAGGTCCCGTCCCACCTCATCCCAATCTCGCCTCGAAGCAACGAGGCCAGCAGCCCGTTGACCCAGCTCATCGATCTGCCCTTTTGAATATGTTCAAAAAGCCCGAGATCAGCTCTCCTCCTGCAAACCAGCCCGCTGAGCTTCCGGCAACCACTGCAAGCGCGGCTCTTCTGAAGGGAGTTTCGACAACAAGAGGAAACAACCAAGACGTACCTAGTCCCGTTTTCCAGACCCGCGGTACCCAACCTGTTTCAAGTAGCCCTCTTAGCAGGCCTCCTCAAGGGCCTGCGGATTCGTCTCCTCAAGTTTCTCTTCGCAACCTCTCTCTGCACCCGCAACCTGGAAGACCTCAGCACCAAAGTCCCCAATCCATGGGGGGATACAGCCCCAGAACGGCGGAAAACCGTAATCTATACCAACAAGGTGCAAACAACAGCCTGGCAGCATTCAACTACTCGCCACACATGCACCCTGGCCAAACCCTGCAGCCGGCTGACAATATGAATAAGTCGACAGGCCCTCGTGGTTCTTCCGTGGTGGCAGCTCTTGCCGCTGGAACAGACAAGCCTGCCAGCCTGGCAAGTCCTCCGGCGGCATCAGCTCTTCCGGCTCCAGCCTCTTTGCAACGAAAGCCTGAAATGTCTACAGAGCAGAGGCAGAAACTTCTCTCGCTCTTTGGCAAGCCACAGTCACCGAGTCCCGGCCCCGGTTATATGGCAGATGACAAGGGTAAGGCGAGAGAGATGCTGCCGCCCGATATGACTGGGATGCGATCGCGTGTGGCCTCTCTTGCTTCTGCAAGCGGGCAGGGCGTGCCGGAGGGTGTGCCGGAATCTCGGCGTGGTAGTCAGACACCGATTTCCCCCGCGGATCGAAGTTTCCTGCTGGGCTACCTGGCGTCGGTGGCGAACAACGGAAAATAGGATTATGGGACCAAATAATGTCGTTACGCCGCCTCGATCTGAGACTTCACAGCTTTCCTGCATCAAGCTCCGGGACCGTTAGACATAGTCATTTAGTTGGAGTCACATTTTTTTTTTTGGCTTTTAGTCGTTGCATTGCTAAGGGTTCCTGGGATTCGACGACGTGTTTACATTGGTAAACCATTGCATGGGGTGAGACCGAGCAAAGGTGCAGGATGGGATGTTCAGGCAAAAGATATTATACCCTGGGGTGTGCCTCGTCTGCCGGTTGCGCTAGAGTAATCAGAGTCCATTTTTCGAGCCGTTTGGTCGAGGTTGTCAGTTCCTGGGGTCTGGGGGAAAGTGTCGACTCGCTCCATGATACCATGTGCCTGTCTGCCTTCTGCTCGCGGTGGCGTGACGTTACGTAGCCGGTTGACACCGGTATCAAGTAGCGGCTTTCCGTCAGCTGCGACGCCTAATTTTTCTCATGATTGTCGTTCAGCTGTGGGTACGCTGTGTGACATTTCAAAAGTGGGCAGATAGAGTGTGGGATAGTTTCTTTCGAAAGTTTGTCGCTTATCCCATCGACACTCGTTTCATTTCCCGCCCTCCCTTTTCGGGTAAATGTGGGATGCCCAGGAAGACGGGGAGGGAGACAGAAGGCTCTGCCGTGTAAGATCGAATTCTAGTCAGCCGCTCTATACGTCCCTCCATCGAACGACTTACTGCGGACCATGGTTGTGGCCGGAACACAGGTGGCACCATCAGGATGTGGCAAATTGAACCTATCAGTGAAGCTGCCATTCTTCGAGCAAGGTATAAGTCAGCAAATAGGAATTCTTCCATCTTTCCAGCAGTAGTTATTTAGCAAGTACTGGCCCTGCAAGCAATATTCGAGCGTCTATTTCACCACTTGCGAACCTTTGCAGAGCAGAAGGGGACGATTCATCTTGGAGACACACATTTCAACTCACTTTTCCGTAATGTTCTTCACCACCTCCCCAGATGCCCTCTTCATCTCCCCCAAAACAATCGACCCTATCGGCTTTGGCAAAGTTGCCATCGTGACAGGTTGCAGCTCGGGTATCGGCCTCGCATGCACGCAACTCCTTCTAGCACATCAGTACATGGTCTGCGGTCTCGACGTTCGCGCGTTCGACTACTCACTCCTCCAGGAGTCGGACCATGGCCGTTTTCACTTTCACCGGGCCGACCTCACGGAACTGAGGGCTTGCGAAGATGGGGTTTACGCGTCGATTGCGTCCTTTGGGTGAGTGCTTCTAGTGGTCTAATTAGATATGGCGGATTAACAGACGAGACCAGACAAAGAATCGACTTGCTTGTCAACGTGGCAGGCGTCATGGACAACTTCAGCAGCGCCGACGGGGTTTCTGACGCAGAATGGGATAGAGTCATGGCGGTCAACCTGACAGTGCCCGTCAAGATGATGCGGGCCGTGCTACCTTTCATGAAGGAGAAGAACACCGGCGTCATCGTCAACGTCGCGAGCACTGCGGGTACTTCAGGAGCTGTCGCTGGTATAGCTTACACTTGTAGCAAACACGGACTGGTGAGTTCGTATTGAAGGCCCTGACCAAGCGGCAAAACTAACCCGCTTCGATTTTCAACAGATTGGAGCAACGAAGAACGTAGCTTGGCGTTTTCGTAAAGAGGGTATCAGGTGCAATGCCATACTCCCTGGTGCCATCAACTCGCGAATAGGAAAGACCATTGCCTCGGGACAAGTGAACGAGTTTGACCTCGAGGCGTACGCGCAGGTCGAGCCGATTCATGCCTTGCATGCCCAGACTTCAGAGTCTTCGCCCAATATCACCCCTCTGGAAGTCGCACATGCTGTTGTCTATCTCGCTTCAGACCAAGCGAGAACCATAAGCGGCGTAAGTCTGCCCATTGATCGAGCGTGGAATTCCGTATGAGTCCTGCGTGGATCAATGGATCATGGAGTCATGGGGCCGATATCTGGGCTGCGAGGCTGTGGGAATTGGATTGGGTACATCGTCTCATCGGTTTCAAGGGCTTCTTTCACCCAACAGTAGTTTCTTCAGACCGGAAATCTGCTGGCCGGCAATTTCACTTGTGTGCGCGTGTCTGTATTCTTCTCCTTGCCTCCCTCGTTGCGCACTAGGCATTGCCCTGTCTTGGGCTACTGTTTGTTTCTTTCATCTTCAAATTCTTCGTCCTCGTCGTTCTTGTTATACTTGACGCAGTATATCGGCTTCAATATCCACACAAATGTCTCTGCCCACTTACCTAGTCACCGGCAGCCACATCAAATTCGCTAGAGCATGACACTGTTGAATTACAAGCTAAAATAGCTTTTACAAGATGCCAAATGACGGTAAGTTCGTATCGGAGATGTAGACCATGTCAGACCCTTCTGTGCCTTTCAGCGTCATCCGATGAACTCCATCCACTCACTCCTTGCCAAAGAGAACAAAGACAAGCGACATGCCCAGCCGAGAAAGGTATCATCAACTCCAAACACAACCCACGTACAAGACCTGCCGCTGCAAATATGAAAACGCTGGTGCAACTCTTTTATCCGTAAGAATGTCAAACGCTGGCATCCCACCCCATCCCACAAAAGAGCACTTTCGTGAGCTTTCTAAACCCTGACATCCATTGCGGATCGTAGCGAAAAGTCGGGAACAACTTTCTCTTCGCCCTCGAGTCCATCCATGTTTAGAGGCTCAAATCGATTCGCCGTGGGGTGCATTACACGTTTAGCTGGAGCGGCCTGGGTGGAAGTCCGGTGGTATTGTGATTTCGCTAGTGGTTGCGTACACTCATCGACGTCCCAGTCGATCTTCGAACCTTTGTACTTGCTGTTGCCTCGTCAGCACTCCTCACTGGTTCACTAGCCGACTACGTTAACTTACAGGCGACTCATCATACAGGTTCGCGCAAACATGGCGCCGTGGACTGAGTTCGTGCTGATATAGGCGCTACCGCCTGTAAATGTGACGTGAATGACTCTCAGGTTATGGATATGCTCCAGGTCGTCTCGAAGAGCCTCTTCCGTGAGATTGGGGTCGCAACGGCGAATCACAATGTTGCGCGTGGCACCCATTCCGATCTTGCTAGCAACATGGCCGGGGAGAGTGAACTGTCGGTCACTCCATCGGATATCAACCTGGTGTGTGGGTCAGTAACCGGGGTTACAGTGCTGTTATCATGACCCATACCCGCTTCTGCTTGATATATAAGTCATGACGACGGATGTGCTCGAAAAACTCTTTGGCGTCTGCTGAGTGCAGGAAGGAGACCTGGGCGGAGCGATCATAAGTCCGCAGGAAAATATCAAGAAGCTGACCACCTCGAACAACAGCAGTGATATCACCATGGGTCGTCCCCTCCGGAAGATTGACAATCAGGATTGTTCTGGTAGCGATTCGCTCGAATTGGGGGCGAGGAGCCACCAGGTCCTGATTCTGGATTTCGAATTCAGTTCGGCGATGGGGATCGACGACGGATTCGTCGGCGTCTGAAATCTCGTGGATTTCCGGCTCGGCCCAGTGGTGCTTGACAGGTTGTTGAGCCGTGGTTTGTCCACCGTGGGACCGGCTGTGCGATGACACCCGCGTGGCTGGAACCGCCGTATCGTGCGGCTGGTGGATGGGGTGCTGCGTGCCGTTACGACCTGGAGTCGGTTCGGACGTCAGGCCGGCAGATTGGTTGTCTTGCCATTTGGATTCATCACTGGTCAAGACCTATACATTGTCCTTAGCAAAAACAGCAAGCGAAGGGTGGAGACGACTTACATCAAGAGTATCCTCCGTTACACCGCCTCGCATCAAGTTGCGGCGCAAGTTCGCTTCGCAAATGTTAGTCAAAGCATGATGATCCTCGGTGCTGCATTGAAATTGCACCGCTGGGAGCTGTGAAGTCCTGTACCAAATTCGCGAGCAGTCTTGAGCAGAGCATCATACTCGACCTGAGAGATGGTAATGGTGGGGTGACACGAAAGTACTTCGTTGGAGTTCTTGGTCAGTTATCCATGTCAGCATGTCAGTTGCTCCAGTTAGATGTCGGGTGAACTGGGTGTGGGATGTGGGATGTGGGATGGCTTATAACATACGAGATGAGCCCTGCGCCAACCGTTAGCTTCTTCCCAGCTCTCACCGAGGTAGGCTTGGACGGTAGGGTAGGCCCATTGGGAAGATGTGCCAGTGTACATTACCTTCGTATGAGAGTGTTGAGGTAAGATTGGTCAATGGTGACCTTTTCACTGCCGGAAGATACCATTGCTGTTGTGTGAATCGCCAGCAAAAGCAGATCCACGGAGAATCTGATTGGGAGAAGATGTTGTGGTATTAAGGCGCAACAAGAGGCAGGTGAAGTAGGCCTTACACAGGAAGAACCTGGATGAAGGTGCCTGCCTGCCTGCCTAGGGAAGGTGGCTTATCGGGATTCTTATCGGATCTTATCTCATCTGCCGCCCCTTATCGTACAGAGACGTGGAACCTTCCACCGCCAAGGTACGTACCACCTGGGCACTCCACGGGAGGTTACCTTATTTTGGTTGAATTTCTTACGTTACCTAAGGTACTTGAATAGTGGCTGCGGTTAGAGGCAGTGAGGAAAAGTAAGGGCAGTAATAGAGAGTAGCTATTACACGGGGAATAACCGCGGAGGAGTGAACATCGCGTTTGTGATGGGAGTGACTGGTTCGGCCGAACGAACTTGACTCCGGCGTCCTTCCAGGCCAGGTTCCGGGCGCGGAACGGTTGCCGGAGGTCCCTAAGATCAACAGAAGTAACCTTCCTGTCGTCCAAACCCGAGTCCTGTTCTCGAAACTCAATGCTGGGCATCTTCACATGAGACGAAAACTTAGTCGTCATTACCCCGAGCCCTTTTTTTTCCTGCCCCCTCAGTCTTGATTGCCTTACCACCATGTTTGAACGTACTTCGATGGTGGCTCGAGGTTACCACAGAATTGCGACCGACAGGATACTCAACGTCGGTTGGCGCCGGATGAAAACCTCAAACATGCCGTCCCGAGACACCAGCTTCGTCGGGCAGCAGCAGCGATTTCGGGGAATGAGGATGAGAACATTCCGTCTGCCTGGCTGGTCATATCCAGAGAACAATGATGGCATGCGTATCTATGTCCTGCGGCGAAGTGGGCAGTCAAGGGATACACGGATTAATTCGCCTCAGTGTGGCTGGAATGTGACACAACCACGGGGTAGTCCAAGACATTAACGTTGTCCAGCAAATGAAACGGCATGCCATGGATATCTCATCATCGGCAATGTACGTGTATGTTTTTTGCTGGTCATGGCTGTATTAAATACAGGGTGTAAGAAGGGGACGCTGCGTTGTATACAGAACAGAGGCGCGCTCATTGAACTTGAACTTCAATTGCAGCTTTCTTGTTGCCCGAAGAGTGTCGTAGCTCCTTCGTACTGCCCGAGAGCGTGTTTCAAGCTTGAGCGAAGTAAACGTTTGGGAGAAACAAAGCTGGGAAGACCCAGTGGGAACATTGAACACGTTCCGCGAACGACGACATCAACACCTAGGCGGCCCAGACGGGAACGGCCTGTTGTGATGCCTCCACCCCAGTGTTGAATCCAAGTGTATGTGATGTTGTTTTGGACGCTTGGCCGTCTGAAATGATCCAAGTACGAGGCGGTGTTTTCATACTACTGGCCTAGCATGAAGTGAGCTGAAAATTTGGTGCAAATCGATCACACAAACGCGATGAAGGTGACGCAGCGGCGAAAAGATGCCAGGCTCCGGGCGACTTGCCTCCTTGGCGGTGCTGGTGTATTCGTACATGCCTGACTCCGTCTTGAGTGGATGGGCACCTGTGTTTATGACGGAAAATCTACGTTAGTTAAGGGGTCTTATCCCAGCATAATAAGACACGAGAATCCGTGATGTGATCCCCTGCGAATTAAAGCGAATTAAAGCGAATTAAAAGGGCAAAAACAACGGACAAGCGCTGCAGTGGCCATCATCACTCCATCCATCGGTCTCGACATAGTCTCATCATTGATTGAATCTGTGGAGGCGTGTGTTCCAGTGATTATTTTTAGGAGGCTAATACGAGCGTGAGAGGAGGCGTTGGAGGGGAAGGCACAGGAATACGATGGCCGCGGTGGATCATCCGACGGGATGCGGCACCTGGCTAAGGTAGCACATTGTTTTGGAAGGAACGACCGGGGCAGTGCCTACCTTACCTAGGTAAGGTAGGTAAGGTACCAATACCTGACGGTACCTGGTATCTGATAGAGAACTGGCGTTGGACTGCACCAGCACTACAACGCCCCCTTTTTCCTTCGGAGGTGGTCAACTGGTCAACGGCCGCCGGCTACCTTTCTAAGGCACCTTACCTTTTCTTACCTTAGGTACGGATGATGTTGGTGAGAGCCACTCGAGTTGCTGAGTGCCTGTGTTCCTTTAGGTACCTTATCCGTGCCTATTACCTTACCTTATGCACCTATCCAACTTAATGGTCTGATTGCGCTGGGTGGCGGGAGCCAGACTTGCGGCAATTCTTCAAGCGTTGAGGGAAGGTTGGTTGGCTGGTGTTGTCTTGCTCATGAGGTGTCGGGCCTACAGGTTGTACATGTCTTGTTTTTGTTCTTATTTTCGGTCTCTACCTCACTTCCAGGCGCGATCCGCAATAGAAATTGTTCTCTGCATGATCCCGTTTTCTGCTTTGCCCAGGGCTGATGAAATAGTGTTTAAAGCTGCCGTCGCTGGTCAACTCCGTGTTGTTGGGGTGGTTTTTTTTTTGTGAGCTGCAGGTGCCTTGGCTCGGGCTGTGCCACTGCCACCCCATCTTTCTGGGGGAACGAACCTACCTACCTAGCTAGAATGCAGCCCATCGTCCGTAAAAATTGGTGTGAAGCACCTGGCGCGGGCAGGCTCCGCCCCTGTCGGCTTCCATGGTGCCCTGCATTCCCTTTTTTCTTCTTTTTGCCTTGATCCCGTCATTGGTGGCAGGGGCGAACAGAGTGACTTGGACAGTCGGGGTTTGCCTTGGTTGCTGTGGATCCACCAAACCTAATCAATCGGGGCCCTTCCACGTCCACGTCCCTCCAGTCGGGTGTCCTCGACCTGCAAACCCGCCCCGAATTTCTCTTGATCCCATTCCAGTGCCTTCCTAGGTACCTTGGCCGTAATATGCTGCTAATGCCTATGGATAATTTGGTACCATGCCTGACTGTACATACTAGTACTGACCTATGTGCCTGGCTTGTTGCAGATTTCTCCCTCTCCTGTCCTCCTCCTCGCCTCTCAATCCTCACCTTCACAACCTCATGTGAATTTGCGTCCAACAGCATCATCGCCAGCAGCCCTTTCTTCTTTTTTCCTCCTTTAATGCGCCTCTCGACATTCGCTTGATACAGCTCACTCGCTAATTTGCCGTTTATTGTTATTGGAAGAGGAGGACTTTAACTGGAAACACTCGGCCGTCTGGTTTCGACGAGTCAACTTACCCAAGATTTGTTATTGCGGATTTGCCCGCTTCGTGAGAAAAGGGGTCACCGCGCCTCGACAAGAATACATCACCCCCGACAACACATCAACCACCATCCGAAGCGCGAGACGAAATCTTTGCGCGATTGATTACACTTGATTGCTCAACTTTCGACCACGCAACTCGACAGCATTGTCCGACTGGATTTGTTCTAGGTCCGTCGGGAGCATCATCCATTATTCGAGAACCATGAAGGCCATTCAGACGCTCGCTCTCGGCCTTGCGGCCTTCACTCCCTTGGCTTCTGCTTGGCCGAAATGGCTTCCCGACGTCGATGCTCTCGTTGTCCGTCAGAACGAGGAAACTACAGGTAATACCAACGCCTGTGCTTGTATGACCTCGTGAACCCATGTCGCTAACCTCGAATAGCCGCTGCTACTGCTACCCAAGCAGCATCTGCCACAGCAGGCGCCAAAGCCACCGCAACCACCGCAGACGAGACGGCGACGAACACCGGCGGCGCGAAGACCACCAACCTCAACACTGCCAAAATTCCCACTGGCACTCAGACCGGCACTGCGAAGGGCACCGGTACCAACACCGAATCTGACAGCTCTCAAACTACTTTCGATGCCCGCGATCCGGTCGGAAGTGTTGAGATGATCGAGCCTGCGCGGACAGCCGCCGCCATCAACTTGTACAAGATCGGAGACTACGTCACCTGGAAGTGGAACTACACCAACGTCCAGTCCAACCCTACTGCTGTTGACGTGCTCATCAGCTGCTCTTCCAGAACCCAGGCATGGACTTTGACCCAAAATATGAGCTTTGTCGAGCCTGCCACCTACACTTGGGATACGAGCGTACAAGCTACGGACCCCTCGGCGCCTCTGGGTAACGACGAGTACACCCTCATCATCTATGATGCTGAATCGCAGGTCACTGCCACCGCGGCCGCTGGTTTCCTCGGATCATCCAACGCCCTCAAATTCGGCATGTACAAGCCTCAAGAATATCAGCCTTTGAATGAGTGGAACTGTGCAACTTGCGAGTCCGCCGCTACCGCGTTGAATGCCAAACCCGTCGACCTGGCCGTTGCCATGAGCATGCTCACCATCGCCGGCTTTACGTGGTTTGTGGCAGGACTTGGCGTGTTTTAATGACTGTTTCCTCTGCAATGACGGTTGAACATCTAATTTCAGGAGCTGCGAAGGGCGATAACAGAGTTTAGCGGTAATCATTTACGGTTGTCATTTGGGATGGCGTTATGTCCAATCATGGCCGGGCAAAATGGCGGCTCCATATACAAAGTCGGATGTTTATGAGTTTCCTGATACATAGCTTAATGCATAACACTAGCCGAACAGCTCGGCCGTGTAAGAATTATTCGATTGCTTGACCTGTTTCGTGACGACTACACCATTCGCAGTGAGAAGCCTCCGCCCCTCTCCTCCTTGTCTCTGCCTTGAAAAATGCCACTGAAGTCGACATCACCCAAGTCAACAGCGTCCTGGCCACGGATTGGCGCGTTTGGCTCATGTCTTCTTCTCTCCTGTCCAGCCTTGCTGGGGAATGTCGGGAACATAGCTTCCTTCTTCGGCTTTGGATCCTCCCTGAAGTATTTATGGTCCAACATCTCCTTGGCTGAGGGTCTCGAATCCGGGTTCAAAGATAGCAAATCGTTGAGCAACGCGCATCCGGCGTTGGTCAGAGTCGTAAACTTGGCTCGAATCATGGGCCCCGTAGCGAGTGAGTTATTGGGTAGACGCAAGGAGCGCGCATTGGGAAGACTCCTGAACGATGGCCAAGTTTCCTGCGTGGGCACGCCACACAGCTCGAATATTTTCGTGACTTGATCGACCTCGTTCGTACCCTGAAGGAGAGGTTCTCGCGTAAGGAGCTCTCCAAAAATGCACCCAACACTCCACATGTCCACGGCCCTGCCGTAGGTCCTGGCCCCCAGAAGCAGTTCGGGAGAGCGATACCACAGCGTTACGACGAGCTGGGTTAGTTTTGGGGCTGGATCTCCCACATAGCGGGCCATTCCAAAGTCGGCAACCTTCAACTGGCCGCGGTTATTCAGCAGTAAGTTGGATGTCTTGAGATCTCGGTGAAGAATCCAGTTGTCGTGAAGATAAGCAATGCCCGCTGCCAGTTGTCGGAGGAGCGTCTTGACTTCGGAGAGAAGAAACGGTTCAGGCATGTCCTCTAATATGCTCTTGAGATCGTGCTCGACGAATTCTAGTACGAGAAAGATGCTGCGATTTCGTTAGCCTCCCTCTCAAACTTGACGCGAACGTTGGATGGTTTGCACACTTCTCGATTTTCGCGGTGTCCTCTCCCACCACCACTTCCTCTAGGTTCACAATGTTGCGGTGACTGCAGTCCCGCAAAATCTGAATTTCCCTTAGGCCAGTTACGGGAAGTCCGTTGCGATCAGTCGGTTCAATCTTTAGACGCTTCAGCGCCACTACCTTGCCGCTCATGGCCTCCTTGGCCCGCGAAACCCAGCCATACGTACCCTCTTCGATGTCATTCAGCTTATCGTAACTCTCCACGCTCCGGCATTTTCCCCAATGACCAAAAGGTAAGCGCAGAAGCTTCCCAGAGCCCTGGTTGATGTGTGGCGAGTTTGGGACCTTTCCAGTTGGGTCTGGTGTGTATTTCCGCCTCTTCGCCGGTCGTCTGTCCTTCTCGTCGTTCTCTGCATTCTCGTCGTTCGCCTTGGCTCGCAGCGCCAATCGTTCGTTCTCGGCGAGACGGGCTTTCTCTGCCTTCATGCGCTTCTTCTCCTCCTTTTCTCGCTTGAGCTTGGCCTCAAGAGCCGCGTCCTCCTCACTGTCTGCCCATCGTGACTTGGCGCTGCTCGCCATTGCGATGCCAGACTTTTAAGACGGAGCTGCGGATTGAACAAGGTCTGGTTTGCGGTTTCGGATTTGATGATGTATTCTAGTCGATCTCTTGGGCCTATTTGATAGCTCCTGGAAGTGGCTGGAGAGCAAGAGCTGGACGCGCTCGTCGAGTTGATTGCTGCAGGGATCACGCGCGGCGAGTCGGCGGCAAACTCCTCCGACCTTTTTGTGGGGTAGGGACTCCACCCCAAGCGGAGACGACGGAAGCTCTCATGCATGCAGGTCCAACAGTTTATAGGTACCTTAGGTACGCAAGAGCCGGTGCTCGTTATCTTATCATACCAACCTCGCTTCAGAAGCTTCCACGGCCCGCCCGCCGCTTATTGTGGAAAATCATCTAAAGAGAACCTAACCAGTTGTCGCGGCGTGACACATGCGTCTACGCTACTAACTAAGATTCCGTCTCTTTTTCGGCTGTCCCGAGATGAATTCGACATAACATACCCCGACCTGGGAGCAGTGTAGAAGGACAGCAAGGAACAACAAGCAGCATGCAGCGACTCTTCCCTCGAAGTGTGCTGGCGGCTGGGCTGCGAAGCGCTGCGGCGAAACGAACGACATATAGTCCATGGACGGCGAATGCTTCGAGGGCATTCTCTTTGACGGAGCAGATGCGGGAAGGAGACGAAAAGCAGAGAAAGTGGTCGACCCCGCTGGCGAAGAAGCTGGCTGAAGCCATCTCGGTTTGCGACAGTCGCCTCCATGAGTTGCAGTCTTCTCTGACCGCTGTGTACGCAGATGACCGGCCCTGTTCCGCTTGCAAGTTACATGCGCATGTGCCTGACTGGAGATATCGACGGATACTATACGGGCTTGGCTGAGGAGAATCGAGACCAATTCGGATTGAAGGGAGACTTCGTTACTTCTCCCGAGATTTCTCAGATATTTGGCGAATTGATAGGCATCTGGTTTGTGGCAGAATGGCTTAGCCAGGGAAAACCCAAGAGAGGCGTGGAGCTCATCGAGGTTGGCCCTGGACGTGGCACTTTGATGGACGACATGCTTCGTGTGAGAGGCAACCATGGTCTTCGGGTACCGTGAGAGCGGGGAGCTAACTTGGCCTTCAGACAATCCAGAACTTCAAGGAGATGGCGTCGAGTATCGACGCCATTTATATGGTGGAGGCAAGTCCTCAGCTTCGGGAGACCCAGAAGAATCTTCTCTGCGGCCCTGACGCGCCCATGACCGAATCCAAGGTTGGCTACCACAGCGTTTGCAAGTACACCAGTTTGCCTATTGTTTGGACTGAGACTATCAAATCCATACCAAGAGGTGAGCCAAGAGAACGGGTGCCATTGTATAGTGAAGACGTTGACCTCGATGCCCAGATCCGGAGAAAATGCCCTTTATCGTGGCACACGAGTTTTTCGACGCTCTCCCCATTCATGCCTTCCAGACAGTCACTGTCCAGCCCCCTCCCAATGAGCCAACAACAGGCAAAGGAGTCTCGCCTGAAGCACGGGAGCTCGAGAAACCCAAGGTCGAGTGGCGAGAGATGTTGGTATCTCCTACTCCGCCCGACGCCACGCATGCCACCATGAACATCCCCAAGTCGGAGCAGGGAGATCCCATCCCGGATTTCCAAATGACCCTCTCCTCAGGCCCAACCCGCCACTCCAAACTTCTCCCTGGGAGCTCCTCGAGATACAGTCGCCTCAAGTCCATTCCCAACGCCGTCGCGGAGATTTGTCCTGACGCCTCGCTGTACTCGGCAGACTTTGCCAGTCGCATCGGTGGCTCAAAGCAGTTTCCCAAATCGCGCCCCTCCGGCGCCGCGCTCATTCTAGACTACGGCACCTCCGCAACCGTCCCGGTCAACTCGCTGCGCGGAATTCGTCGTCATCGCCGGGTCAGCCCCTTCTCTGAGCCGGGCTTGGTCGATCTCAGTGCGGACGTGGACTTCACTTCCATTGCCGAAACGGCGACACGCTCGAGTGAAGGAATTGAGGTTCATGGGCCTGTTGACCAGGGTGCTTTCCTCAGCCAGATGGGTATCAAGGAACGAGCAGAGGTGCTCATGAAGCAGGCAAAGGCAAGATCGGCCAGCGACAAGGCTCAAGATATTGAGAAGGCCTGGAAGCGTCTCGTCGATCGAGGACCCGGAGGAATGGGCAAGGTTTATAAGGCTATGGCGATCTTGCCTGAGAACGAGGGAAGAAGGCGACCTGTTGGTTTTGGTGGCGACGTATAAAGGCTCCGCGTGCCAGAATGGAATGTATGCTCAATGATACCATGAGACAGAAACCCTACTTCTGACGCCTCACTTCACAACGCATGAGCAGCGTCGTTCTTGGTTTGCACGAATGATCATATTTTCCCAAGTCTAAGGACAGCGGCCTTTCCCCGAAAACCAAGTCGACTACGCCAACGCCACCCTGTGTGCATGTTGTACACTGCAACGTGATTGCCGCATTTCGCCAATCGCCAAAACCCAATATGCCCTCTATTTCCTGGATCCTACAAGCTTAGCGTCCTCGTCGTCGGAATCATCCGAGAACCTGTCTCCGTCTTCGCCCACCGCAAAGATGGTCTCTCCATCCAGAGACTCCCTTGGAACGTGTCTTTGCGGCTGCGGTTGCGGCATGCTGCTCGCCTGTGCGCCGGACTGGGCGCCGCGGCTTGTTGGTAGGGAGTTTGTGGTCTCCTTGCCTACATGGGCCTCTTCGTCTTCGTCGGAATCATCAGGTGCACCAATGTCGGCCATGGTGAATGTTCCATCGTCATCTTGCGCGATCTCGTCACTCATGGCGAAACGTCGGTTGTTGGCGGTAGGTCTCCAGACGTAGGCAATCCAGGCTACGTCAGCGAAGTAGACGAGGTTCAGCCAGCCGTCGAGGACGAACCACCGAGACTTCCAGTGGAAGGGCACGTAGTCAGGGTCGCTAACCGAGGCAAAACTGAAGCTGTTGAAGAAGAAGAACCCGAAGATGACAAAAATGCTGATCAGAATGCACCACCACAACTTCTTGTACATGGCTTCCTTGGCATGCTGCTTGCGCTCCCGCAAATCCTTGAGCGTGAAGTTGAGGGAGTTCAGCGTCCAGACGTAGAAGGCGGTGAGAGTCCCGGCTAGAGGAAGGACGATGAGAAGAACGAAAGGACCTGGAACAAGTCAGTGCACCGTCTTCAGAACTCTGCTAGAGACAACGTACCAGCTGCGTCGGGAGTGATTAATAAGCTGGTGATCGCGTACACGAGCCCGAAGACAAAGTGAGCGATGGCAAGCCAGCGCACCCAGATCATGGTGCGGCCGAGCGTCGGTTTGACAACTCCGTAACCCATGCAGACGATAAGGAGCAGGAAGAATGAGAAGGAGTTGCGGGCAGCGTTCAGAATTGCCACAATGACCAGCAAGACCTTGGACCCAATATTGGCGCCGTTGCGGTTAAGGTAGTCTAGAATCTCGTCAGTGAAGGATCAACGGCAAGTTTACGGGGTTCACTTACCGTAGAATCCCCAAGTCATCAACATCTCAACGACCAAGAACATGAGAATGGCTGTGATGTAGTTTTGGACCGCCAAGATGTCATGACGATGTTGATAGTAGAGGAAACCCCAGAACCTAGCAAGCATTAGCTTCGTGACGCTTGGTACGAAGGTAAAGGTATCCATACACGGCGACCAAGGCGTAAAGGATTGTTATGCCTCCATAGAATGGCAGCTTGGGAATCTGCGTGGCGGGCAGCTCGCCGTACGCATTGCGGAACTCAACAACTGCGGTGTATTCGTCCGCAGTGAAGCGATCAGTCAGAACGCAGTAATAGCCCGTCTTGCGAATCATGTACTTGGTAGCTTGCGGCTCTTTCAAACGGATGGCCTTGGTATCAATCATATTCTTCGACTTCGTAGTGGCTTCGGGATCGATGATGAATTTTCCGATGTCTGTCTCGTTGCAGAAGCCCTTCTTGACGAATTGGTCCTGGCAAATGCCGATTTTCTGTACACCAACACTATTAGCTACCCTGACGCATGGTCTTGCCACCAGGCGATAAATGCGCCTTACATGTTCTGAATCGGGGGTCTCGCGAACGCCAATGAGTTCCTCGTCTCTCCACTCGAATATGACCAAGCTCACAGTGGGATCTTGGTCTGCCGGAGCCTGTTTCGGGAGAAACATGACGTTGATGTAGGGGTCGACTGGGCCGCCCCAAGCGGTGCGACTGTACATGCCTGTCGAGGGGAATTATCAGTATCTTCAAGTCGGATCTACGCTTGATTCATCTGCGTCTCGAGGCTGCACATACCAGAGCATCTTTGTCTGTTCTCGTCGGTTTGATCCTGTGACAAGAGGTTCCCAGTCAGTCTCTGATACGCGAGTAGCCGCCGGCGATGCCTCGTCTGGCGAGATTCATACCATCTTGACCTCCAGGGCATGAGCTGTCCAGAGGGACATGCCCAGGACAGAGGCATAAAGCCAGCCCTTCATCTTGATGTTGGGCGAGTAAAGCACTTGGTATCGGCGGCGAGATGGCTGCGAGGGAGTTATGCTGGCAGCGACAGGCGCTGGGCAGTGCCGAAAGATGTTACTGTTGTGTCTATCGTGAAGTTGCAATGAGAAACGGTCGCATGGGGCATGCCGATTTGGTTGAAGCTCTGCAACTTGCGCCCTGAAAGAGATGATGCTGGCGGATCGTAAAGTTCAGCGAGCCCGGCCAAGTCGGATACGTTGCACGGAGGACTTGTACAAACAGTGAAGTGTGCCAGCCTGGCAGCCTTTGGCGAAACTGACACCGAGAGGGAGAACCACCTCAAGTAAGGGTACCTACCTAGGTACGTGCCAAGCTCCGAGGCACTGGATCGCTGAGCCGCTAGTCCAGCCCGGGCGTCTTTTCAGTTAGTACCTTACTGTGCCGGCCAGGGCGGTGACAACTTCCATTGGTTCTGTCTTTGAAACTTCCTGTACGCCCGGCAGCCACCCCGCTACCTACCGCAGTACCTAGGTAGGTACCTAGGTAGGTAGGTAGGTAGGTACCTATCCTAAAGGTACGTTGCCTTATAGCCTTAGTGTAGAGCCGGCAGGTTAATCCACATCCAGGACAGGGTGAGATGCTTTACAAAAGATGGGTCAGTCATCCCTAAATGTTATTGATCTGCTGGGCAACGCGATCATTCCTTTAACATTAATACTTTCGGCACCAAGATAATTACATTTGGGGCTGTTAAGGCACAGGCTTTAGGCATTGAGTACTGTCTTCTCACGCCTCCTCCTCACGACACCCGGTGGCACAGCCTCGCCAACGCTTCGACAATCACAACGCCTTTCTGCGAGGATGGGCAAAAACACAGACAAGCTGTACATTACTCACTCCGAGTGGTCATCCTCAAATGCCTACTCTGCTAGTGCTGGTGCGAACGTGAACGCGCGCGCCCGCCCGGACTCCTTCCGACGCCTGCCCTTCAACTTTTGCGCTGCCAGCCTCCAACCCTTCAAGAACCCCGTCTGCACCAAAGAAGGTACCATATTCGATGTCGAGATCATTAGCTCATGGCTGGCCAAACATGGCACCAATCCCGTCAATGGCGAGCCTTTGGATGCCAAAGATCTCATCAAGCTGAACTTCGCCAGAAACGCCGATACCGAGTCGCGGACCCCGGGCTTTGGCGATGGTCAGGGCGACTTGATCGACCCCGTGTCCTTCAAGGTCTTCACGGATAACACCCACATCGTTGCAGTCCGACACGGAACATACGCAAATGTCTTCGCGTGGGACACGGTCGAGCGAATGAACATCAAGGCCAAGAATTGGCAAGATCTTGTCGACGACGAAAAGTTCACCAGGGCCGACATCATCACGCTGCAAGACCCACAGAACGCTGCAAGCAGGGATTTGAGTCAATTCAAGTTCCTCAAGGACGGCGAGGAGGCAGTTCTGACCAAGGAGCAGGAGGAGGAGCGCAAAGAAGGCAATGTCAACATCAACGCCCTCGGTCGAATCGGCGACAAGGTTCTCAGGGCTAAGCAAGCCGTCGAAAAGGCGCGGAAGGAGCGCGAGGAAGGTGCTGATGTGAACCGCACATCTGCAGTAATCAAATCTGGTTCAAGCGTGCAGCGCAAGTCGATGATCATGGACAAGAAGATTCCGTCCAACGCCGCGGTATATACGACTGGCAAGGCAGCTGCAAGCTTTACCAGCACAGGACTGACACCGGAAACAAGCGGTGAACGAGCGCTGCTGACCGACGAAGAGTACATGCTGAAGCCCAGACGAGTCAAGGTCAAGGGTTATGCCCGAATTGAAACGAATCTTGGCGACTTAAATATCGAGCTTTACCCAGAATTCGCTCCGCGTGCGGTTTGGAACTTCACAAGGCTTGCTCAGAAGGGCTATTACAGGGGCGTCACTTTCCACCGGAACATCAGGAACTTCATGCTTCAAGGAGGTGATCCCTCGGGCACTGGCAAGGGCGGCGCTAGCATCTGGGGCAAAAACTTCCAGGACGAGTTCGACGGACCATTGATGCACAACGCTCGGGGTATCATCAGCATGGCGAACAAGGGCAAGAACACCAACTCCAGCCAGTTCTTCATCATTTACCGGCCGACAAAGCATCTCGACAACAAGCACACAGTCTTCGGCAAGGTAGTTGGTGGTCTCGACGTCTTGTCAAAAATGGAAGATGTGCCTACCGACGGATCCGACAGGCCGCTCAACAAGATTGTGATGAAGGAAGTGATTGTTTACCTGGATCCTTTTGAAGAGTTCTTGAAGGAGAAGAACGAGGCCGAACAGTCGGAGAGGGCCAAGCAGGCAATAGTACTAAATGGAGGCACAGAAGATGACAAGACGACGTGGACGGGCAAGCGAGTTCGGGCTGACGGCACCGTGGACGACGAAGACGCAGGCGCCAGTGTAGGCAGATATCTCAAAGCACAAAAGAGCGGCCCAAAACATGCCGAAGGAACAGACGTCGACACATGGGAAGAACCTGCGCGAAAGAAGACGAAGAACGGTGGCTTCGGCAACTTCGACAACTGGTGAAGGACCGAAGGTCTGTCTCTTCAAGAGATGGCGCAGAGAAATAGACATGATACCCCGAATTATTTTGCATCGCTCCCGCTCAGACCGTCTCGAGCACATTTCGTCTATTGGTACCAAGAACCGGAAGGGTCTAACGTAACTACTTTTTTTCGTATGGCGCAAAGTCTCGCCTGTATGCGTGCCAGTTTACACCAGCATCTCGGCTGTCGTTGGTATCTGCGGCATCTGATGCCATGGCAAGTCAGCCCAAGGGATGGAGACCTCCTTGCTTCGGACCATTTGTGCCACCCCGCCAGCCTGTTGCAGGCTTGTCTCCCTAAGAATCGCCCGTAAACGATCAACGACATACTCTCTGACCTCTGTTGTGCACGAAGATGACACGCCCAAAAGATACAATGGCCAGACAATGGTGTTACTGGCTGATGCAAGTATCATAAAACGCTCGGCGCTGTCGTTGAGACCCTCGGCTTGGGTCGGGTCATGCAGAGTAGGCCCGTTAAAGGGAGCTGGACCGGGAGAATCGACAGACGAACCAGGCGAAGATGACGTAGATGTCGCCGGCGATGGTACCACTCGAGACGGCGGCCTTCTTGCTTTGACTATACCGACGGGCAAGTCACGGTTCTCGATTAGTGCCCTGAAGCTGACAACACCGAAATGTTGGGGGACGCTCGCTAAAATAGCATCACGGAGTCTTTCAAGCAGGTCAACAGACTTGGTAAGCTGCAACTTAGCCTCGTACGGCCAAGACAAGATGTGCTGTTCATGATGGCATCGAAATAGTTCTCCGATTATGGTCTCGTGTATCAATATTCTGAGAGATCGGATACCGTTCCATGTTGCCGCAAGCGACAGCGCGGGATACACATGGCAGTGGTAACCATCGAACACAGCCGGATGGGACTGTGAAAGGCTCACCTGTCGAAATTGCCAGGTTTCCGGTAGGTGGGCGATGATGTTAACGAATTCCAAGTCGACTTTTGAAAGCTGGTCAATGATGGCGTCCGTTTGCCTCAATTTGCCGATCCTGATATCATGCCTGAGTTGCATGACCTTATAAATCGGGCCCGACATTTTCCAGCCCGGGTCACCTGCTGGCGAAAGCATTCCTAGCTGGTTCCGAAGGTCAACGAGAGATTGAGGCATAGGCAAGCTCCGCTGAATACAGCTGGTGAGGGCAATGTGTGTCAACATCAAAAACATGCGCACGCCAGCGGGCGACTGGAACTGCTTGAGACCGCGTATTTTCGCCAGAGCAGCCGCGCCATTGATGTGCTCCTGCCATGCGCGTACCGTCTGGGGGCTCCGGCCGGTGAGCATCTCATATGTGTTCAGAATGAGGACGGACAGCATGGTCGTGTCCTTAACCGCCTCGGAGGGGTCCCGCAATGCGTCGTTCGCCAGGTGAAGAGCGGTGCCGTAGCTGCGGCGTGCCCAGTCCATCGTTCGAGGACACTTGGTAAGGTCAGAGAGACCAGCCAACCCAACGGCAGTCATGCTCGCCATGACACTGTCGACTTTTCGACTGGCGTGCATACTGGCAGGACGCCAGATGTCGAAGATGAAGTCGTAATTTTGGTAGCAGGCGTTCTCGTCGGCAGAAACGTAACGTGAGAAGAAGAATGCCGTGCCACGTTCCTGATAGGACGGTGCTAGCGAGTACAACAACGTGGCTTGCGGTGTCGAAGGCCAATTCCCTTCCTCGGGCGACGGCAGCAGACCCTCGTCATCGTCGTCATCGTCTTCGCAATCGTTGTTCGTGGGATGAGCAGGCTGGGGTGGTGAAGGCCATGGATTATGGCGAGGCCGGCTTCGAACAGAGGCACTCCGAGTTACCACGGTCAAAGCATTAGGCGGGATTTGACGCCTAGTGCTCGCTCTGGTTGTCGTCCCGGGAGGCGGATCGGGGCTATCGGGGCCGGTAGTAGACGGTGCGTCAACGCCGGGTTCCGGTGCGTCGACCGTGGAGCTCGAGGCCATTGCATTCTTCGCGCGTCCCCGTGCCCTTGTTTTGGCAGCTTTCTTGATGACGTGGGAGCTTTCATCCCGGAACATGAGATCGACGAGGTTGCGGTACCCAGGGCATTCTTGCTGACGTTTCTCGCATTGGCCGCAACCAGGTTCTCTCTGATCGCACTGTTGACCGTGTTGTTAGCCTTATGCCAGATTCAAATCACCTCATCCATCATCGTCTAGCAATTGCCTCTCAGAAGAGCAAGAATCGGGAATTGTATGAGCACACGTACCCTAACCTTACGCTCTCGACAGTTGGAGCAGCCCTTGGACGGCTTACCGCAGTACACCATGCTGAATCCACATGGGATGGCCTGATATACCCAGCAAGCCTTGAAGGAAGAAATCAGGTACAGAGATGCTAAATTCCGGCCGACGAACGTTGCTGAGATTTCCTGGTGGGTGCCATTGTCAGACTTTGAATTAGTCCTTGTTTGATAGACAGGATCGGGGCGGGGGGAAGCGGCAAGCGAGGCGGAGATGAGATGTGCAGAGAAACCGGGAATGGTGCAGATGGCAGCCTGGTCGGAGCCCAGTAAGAGGAGCGCCGAGTCTTTGGAGTCGAGAATGAGAGATGACTGACGGCTCAAAGGTGGGATGTTCCTCGTCCCCGGGAAGGGCGATCACGAGGTAATGAAGCCACGTTATGCAATTGGGTACTGGATGTGTAAGTGGCACGTCTTGATGGATGAACGGCTACGCGAGATCAAGTAGTTGCCTCCGACTCCGTGGGTGTCAACCAAGGGCGTCTAGTCCGTTCGGAAGAGAAGACCGGGGTACGACGCAGGTCTGGAATCCTCGGATAACGGGAGATGCAGCAGAGCAGCTGTGCAGTGGCAACGGGAATCTGACGAGCCCAGAACCAGGGGTCTTGGATGAGGTTCGATGCCGAGGTCGATTCTCGAACAGATGGCCAAGCAAAGAGCGTTCGTTGTTCGCCGAGACGGAGGACTCCGGAATCATACACGGTAACCACGAGTCTGGAGGCCACGAAAGCACCACGGGCATCGCCGACCGAAGAAACGGCTTCCAACATGGGCTGATTCGGTCACGTTCCCGGTCACGATGCTGACTGGCTTTTGCCCTGCCGGCCACATTTACACCATGGACAGGTTACAAAGCCAAAAGGAGCGCGCCTTTCAAATTCTGCTGTGGCGGCTTCGGGTGATGGATACAACCGTATCCCCTCCCCCCTACGGTAGTGGCTGCAAGTTCGGTATCCGTATGCTTGGCCTTAGCCGAGATTGATTCCGGAGCTGAGTCAAAACCGCTTAGCTCGCGTGCTCATTAGCCAGCCCCAACGGTCTCGATTAGTACCCCCAAGACGCTTGCATCTGCGTTGCTCCCTGTCAGTTCTGTTTAAGTCGTTCTCACTGGACGAAATGCGATGACATCGTTCCAGGCATCCAGCCCAAAAGAAGAGCTGAGTTGTAGTCCGCTTGTGAGACTTGATGGCTGGATCGTGCCACTGCACTGGAAGATTTGTTCGGATCGAATTCGACTGCTGAGTACCTCAACCCTGGACCGCGGTCAAGGCCGAAAGGACTGCTGCCGCTGGACCTGCATCACGACTGGAGATATTCTTGATTCAGTTACCGGGCCTTGGGATACGCAGACGATTGTTGCGCCTCCAGCGTAATATCCGTTCGTACCCCTGAATGCCTATCACCAGACTCGGCTACCTTGGGCGCGACCAGTCGCGTGCTGCGCCATGAGATGGGCAGGTATCTACGTGCGGACAGTCTCTATTCAAGGTATCTGTTCCAAGTGGCTCGACTCATACCCAAGATGCTAAGTTCTAGCCATATGTACACTTGGAACCTCCACCATGTGCAGCAGTACACTTGATACTGCGTCTTAACCCGAATCAAACCATGTTTCGCTCAAAGCTCCTCTTGCGCCGCAGACGAACCTCTACCTCCGATGCCGACCGTGAGGAGCCTCGGGTTCGAGTCAAACAGCGAGCCAGACTGGTCACCTCCGCTGGATGAGCCAACATCGTCGTAGGGGAACGCGTAACCACGGCCATCGGGGCTGACCTCGTGGCAGATACGCGAGTAGTGATTCGTCCGGGTATCCTTGTAGTAGTTGGCTACTTTCTCGCCCTCGGGCTGCTGGTTATTGATCAGCAGCGTGGATCGGTTGAAGGCTGCCGCAACACGCGCACCGATGGCCCCCATCTCGGCTTGGTTCTTGGGATAACCGCCGAACGGCCCGGTGCTGCAGCTGAAGATATCCCGCGCACTCGGTTGAGCAAAGGATCCGACATCGCCAAACGTCAAGAGGTTGTCTGCGCCCACGCGACCGTTGACGTTGCCCCATTGGGCCTGGGTGTTGACCGTCAGATCGGCAGAGCTGTACTTGTCCCATACGGCATTGACGTAGGGCTGATAGTACCCCTGGAACAGGCTGGGCTGCATAACGATGCCCGAATTGGGACTCAGTGCACGCAGGTTGGCCGTGTTGTCGGGGGTGCGCACAATGAGCTTGCTCCAGCCGGCCTTGTCGCTGGAATCTTGGGCGCGCAGCTTGTCACAGACGGCATCGAGACCGTTGCTCGGGAGGCCTGGCACGTTGGTGACGGTGCCCGAGTCGTTTTCCAGAGTCAGGGAGACGGGGATGCTCACGAAGTCGACGTACGAAATGTTGACGAAAAGCTGGAAGCTGTTGAATGTGAATTCGCAGAAACCCCAGCTGAGATTGTAGTTTGCGTCGGACGGGTTCGTCGCCGAAGGCTCCACCACGGCCGGACCCGGGTTCAGGAGGAACCTGAGCGGGCCGTCCCGGGAGAACCAGATCCTACCGCCTGCGATCTGGGGGATCGTCAGCTTTCGCGTCGACCCCGGCGCTCCCAGGGAGATGGCGCAGTCGGTTCCCAGGGGTTGCAGGATGCCGGAAGGCGAGGTCGGGTAGTAGCCCGTGACACCATCGGCCTGGAGTATGAAGACGGCATTATTTCTGTTGATGTCCAGTCCGGTCAAGTGAGCATACGCATTGGACGAGCCGGTGTTGTTCACCAAAACAATGTCGACCGTCGGCCTCGTCATGTTCTGTATGAATTGGACGCTTGCAAGGATGGCTGAATTGTGTTGCTATTGCTCCCGCGGTGTCGCAGCGCAGAAAAAGACTTTGCAGCTGCAGGGCTGCCAGGGTTTGGGAGAAACGCGGCGGCTGTGCCCTTTTATCAAGACGGCGTTCGTCGTATCTGCCTCTGTCGTCCGGCAGGGGAGAGCCAGAATGGGAGCAACTGACCGGGATGGCCACGTGCGATTACTCGGGCCATACAACCTGAGAGGCCGGTGACTTATCCAAACATTATCAGAGAATGAATGAGACGCGCAAGTGTGATGCGCTGGACTCTCCCTCCCTTCCAGAATGACGGAATGGATGACATGGATACGTGGGCTGGTGCCCACTGCCTTGCAAACCGCTCGCCCGGTTTTCCAAGTTCCATCTGACGACTCCAGCCGCACGGCACATGAAGGTCCGGTCCGATTACCAAGCGACGACACATGGTCGCAGCGAGTCGACGCCCGTTGTATTTCTGGTTTGTCGGTGGAGTGGAGTGATGGGAAGAGGCGCGACTCGACTCGACGATGGACAAATGACCCTCTTTGGGGACCAGCACCGTCGAAAGGGAAAGACGGCCTGTGCCAGGTATTCGTCCGGGTTTGTTGCGAGGGCAGAATCGCTACAGCCGGCACATGCACAGGCACATGGGGGAAGCAAATCCGGGGTAGGGGCAGACTGTCTCGGCCGCATTTTCCTCGTGGAAAAGCCCGCCAAGGGGATCACTCGCCCACCAGGTTGACGGAGTCGTGGAAGTGGTGTCTGCAACGCTGCAGCAGTCTGACGCGACGCAACGCGACGCGACGATCGGCCAGTGGTCGCGGATCGTATGCGCCATTCGATGGCCACGTGCGTGATCCACGACGATGAGGGGCCCGTAAATGTGCCGCTGATCCGCCATGACGGGCATTATTGGAGAAAAGATGGAGACGAGCTCGAGGCTGTGCGGCATCTGGGGCTTCGAGACATTTGCATATCCGACTATCAACTACCGAGAGTTGAGGTGTCGAAAACAGGTCAGATGATGACTCTGGGGTCTGGGGCAGACGATTGCTGCGAGTGTGATTGGTCTCTGCTTACCTTGCTTCCTTTGGCGCACAAGGACGCCCTAGTTCTTAGTCTTGCCGCTGGTGACGGAATCAACACAACAATTGCTTTCTTCTATCCAAGACAATTCGGTCGAGAATTGTGACAGCGGGTATGGGAATGGAAGGTGGAAGGTTACGGGCTGCATGTATGGCGGCTCAAACGTCTGTCCATCTTGGGAATGCGCCGTGGCAGCGGTCCATTATCACGATGGTGTACATACCTCACCATATCATGGGAACCGTCTTCAGCTCGGAAGTCGCCATGTTTTCCCCTTGTATCGAAATGGAATGTCATAGGTTGACTGGCTTAGAGCTTTTGCAGGATCGGGTTTTGGAACGTTTCTTCATTTCATCAAAACCGTGTCGTCAAAGTAGCTAACATGGTCATAATACACCACCAGAAACAATAAATCGGCAACCTGCTAGCCTTTGAACGCCGTTCACCACGCTACATCATTTCGTAAGTCGTACAGGAAGTAAAAGGCTTCCGCCGCTGGGATGGTATGATAAACAAGAGGGGCCCATACGTAGGAGAGAGATTCGGTCGATGAACCAATGCCGTCGGCGACGGGAAGGGAGAGAAGAAGGGGGAGGGTCAAATGAACCAGACGCCTAAGAAAACCGCACTGATGAGCATAGCCCACGAAGGTGCCTCCACCGAGGCGGTCCCTTGCTGGCTAGCTTGGCCGTCCTGGTCCTTGTGACCTCCCGGCGGGGGCTGCCCAGATACGGTCTGGTTGTTGGTCATGTTCGTATGGGCAGTGAAGAAGAAGGACGGGACATCGGGAATAGGGCAAACGGCGTCCGGCGCCGCGGGATCGATGCAGCGAGTCTGATAGTCATCCTGGCGGCTGTCAAGTGACGAGTTGAAGTAGGCCTTGACGGAGGCCACGGTGAGAATTGCGTCCTTCTTCGGGGGGCCACCAGACCACAGAGGGTTTCCGTTGCTCCAGTGCTGAAGAATCAAGTGGCCGCCCTCGGCAGGCACGGCGCTGCCATTCATACTGCCGATCACGGTGCCGTCGGCGTAGAAGATGACTTCGTCGCGGAGGTAGTCAATGCGATACTCGTGGAAGTCCGTGGTTGGGTTGAAGCCCAGGTTGGTCTTGATGAAGTTGCCTGTTCCCGCCGCATCGTAGCCCTTTTCCATCGCAGCGCGCGACTGCAGGACAATATTGACGGGGAAAGAATTGTTGGCCGGGTTGAACTCTCTTGTCAAAAACTCCATGTCTATCTCTTGAGTGTCGTTGTAGTACTACGCTCTCTGTCAGCAATCAATGTGTACGCAAGTGGCAAGTTCTTCTTACCCAGAAGAAGGCAGCACATGTTCCCGCTACATCTGGCACCTTCATCATCGCACGGAACGATCCGTATTGGAGATCATTCCTCACCGTATCGATCTCCGCGCCGGGTACCAGCCCGTCCCGAGTCGAGCTCTCAACTAGCAGCTGCAGTCCAGCATCGGTCTTGGTCGAGCTCAGCCCGAAGGAACTCGACCCTTGGTGGACTGAGGCGACATTTGTCGGCGTGAAGTTCTCTCCGAGGGGACCTCTGGCATTTGAGTTGGTCTTGTTGAACTCTTGCCGTGCCCAATCAGTGTTGTTTTGGATATCTCTGACCCTTGTGAAGTCGGTCTCGATGAGGTCGGTGAAGATCTCGACTGTGCCGGTGATGTTCGCAGCGTACCCACATTCGCAAGCAGCGCTGGCGATAGGAGCGAGCAGGCCGATCGCAGCAAACCATCTTGTCGCAAAATGCCCCATGATGCCTATAGTTTGAGATGTTGTTATGGGTTATGTGTTTCCGTATATACGTCTGCCTTTTGTGGTGGACCACTACCAGAGCCGTGCACACAGATCGATCGTCTAAAGTTTTGACAGAACTGAAGGAAGCTCAAGCGCGCATGAGACCAGTCCAGGCGTGCATGAACAGAAATAGAAGACGGTGGGATGAAATGAAGCCCAGACTGGCGCTCAGGCGAGCGAGACGTCGAAAGAGAGGGAGAAGCGAGGGACGTGGGGTAAAGACTCGACAGCATCACAGGAAAAGGCAGGGAGAAAGGGGAGGACCATGTGCTGGCTATGTATTGCTCTCGGCCACGAAAATACAAGGCCAGGTAGAGTCGGAAGGAATCAATGCTGTACGACCATTGTTCCTGTGGCGGGGGTTCGACCGCGACCCAAGCTACAACCCTCGCCGCTCACTTCCATGAGCACAACTACATTGATTGGCGTCCCAGGAAGTGACGAAGGGTCTCGAGAAAAGATGCCGGAGATCAAAGGGGTGCTATCAATGGACAAAGACGATAGAAGCCAGCCGTTTTGCACGTTAGAAGCGTGGTCAAGATCACCATAGAGGAGAGATTCGATACCGGCATCACAAAACCCCAAAACACGGCCAATCGTTAACCGTTGTCCAGAGAACCTGCAGCCGTTCTCCCGGAAATACCCAAAGTGGTATGAAACACAGCTCAACTAGATGCTCGGCACAAAGAAGCAACACGAGAACAACGGGTTGGTGCCTGGGAACCGGCTGGGTCTAGGGAAGCGCCCAAACTGTCCCCCACCCCTTCTCTCTTCCTACCCTGAATCCATGCCCGTGTGCGGTGGCGGACAAGCCACATCAGGTTGTACTACACTGTGTCGCGTCGCGTAGTAATGGTGTTGACCCTGCGAGAACCCGCGCCTGCTGGATTGGACTAAGGATCAGGGGGACGAAGAGGAGGAGGAGGAGGAGGAAGAGATTGGGTAAGTGTCAGGGTGTGAGCGTTGTAATCTGAAGCTGGAATCGGAGCCGAAGGTGTGTCGAAGGTCGCTGCAAAAGCCGCCACGTTAGACATTCCAGTCTCGAACGGTGTTTCAACGACGTCAAAGGAGAGAGAACAATGAAAAGGAACGACTACACGTTGCTAGTCAGCTTCGCGCCCGCGAGACGACTGTTAGCGGATAGCCGGCCGGGTCTCACCAACGAAGAGGGAAAAAAGCCCCCCCGTTGTTGTTGTTGCGTCTGTCTCTAATTAAAGTGTGGCTTTGATCTTCTTGGGGACCGCTCGTCGGTATGCATCAATAACTCACCTACAGCCTTTTCTCCCTCAGCTTTGCTATAGATGAACCCAGTAATTGATTTATAAAGGAACCCGCGCCGATCGGACGCGTGTTGGGCCATTGACTGCTCGCAGAGCTATTCGTGCAATCCCACATCTTGCAAGCCCATGCCCCGAACTCATCACCATTATATCAAGAGAACTGCCAAAGTGCAGCATGCTCTTGCCGTAGCTTGTGATGTTGTCAAGACAATGTTGTGGCATGATCTACCGAGACCACCAGAAAATCGTCAATCAAAGCCACTTGCCGCCTCGAGCTTTGCTAGGCACTTCTTCCACACATGCTCCCCCATCACTGTCTAGATAGTGTGGGACGATCAGCTGTACTGGCTACAGATCACACCTTCGCTCTAATTCTCCTTAGCACAAGTCTCACCCTAAGCTCTTTGTCATTCAAACGGTGGGCTTTTCGATGGCGAAGTCTACTACTCCACACGCAGCTGGACATACATGGTGTCGACGACGACATAATGACCCATTCGCTCATCACAGCAGCTGCCGTGTCCCAAAGTAGCAGAGGCCAGCGGGTGCAATTAGGAGAGGTGTTATGTCGATGTTCAACTCCTAGGAAACTATCTATACACATGTGCTCAAGAAGCCAGCTCCTCCCTTACATCTCGACCAATTAACAGACTCAGGTACCTTCGTCTTGGAAGATGCCCTCACTGCCGTGATCATTTTCTGTCCGCCCACTTGTGCCGAAAGCGCATTCCAGAGCAGAGACAACTTAAATCAGAGTCAGATGACCAAATTCCAAAGGAAGCAAATACTGCAATCTGTATATCGCACAAGGTATCTGAGCAAATCCAAACAAAACAAGCATAACCAAGACCTTGCGCAGTGATATGACGACGAAACGGAAACAGCAACAAGAACTGGTCGAGCCATTCAAGCAAAAAATGTAAAGAGACGAAGGAAAATAAAACAAAAAAAAAAGGATATCAACAACGCGCAGGCATTAGTAAGAACTAGTAGAACAAACGCAAAACCAGTCAACAAGAACTTGTCATCATGGACCAGCCAACATGCCTTGAGGCAGCCCTTGGGGTGCGCGAGCAGGGCCCGAATTATCCCTATTCCTCGGATTTGATTTCCGAGGAACCCGTTCCGAACCCAATGCCCCAACCCATCTCCATATTCCTGCCCTCATTATCGCCGATGACCAAGTTCAATGCCGGGACGCTCTAAATAAAAGTCATTCCAAACGGGGAAATAAGGAAAAAGGAAACCCAGCCGGCGAAACGAGCTGGTCATGCGCGGTGAACATCCTGAAAGCCAAACCTCTCATCTGCGCCGCCTCCCCCGTTCCGACTCGGGGACAAGCCTCAGACCAAGAGGACACGTTCGATGAAGAACTCCGAACCGTTTGCGCCAGGATTAGTAATAGAGAGTTCAACCCAACATACAGAGAGGTATATGCCAAAGAGAAAAGGGCGACCGTAATGGACCCCGAAACACAACATAGGAAATCGTTCAATCATTGCAACTAGTACACGCTGTCCTCGTCCGCCCCTTGTGATGTCATCGAGGGGGTCGAGGCGCTTGAGGACGCTTCCATGTCGTCGACGTAGCCGACAAGTGCTTGTGCGTGCAGGCGGAAAGATTCGCCCATCAGTCTGGTAATTCTGTCGCGTTGTTAGCACGTGTGACCTTTTCAAACCGGACTTTGGCGATGACTTACCCCCAAACGACGACCTCGTCGAGCATGCCGCCCCACAGTCTGGCAACAACGGAACTGATCTGAGAAGCGTACGCCTCGTCGTTGTCCTTCTCGAAGAGTTGCCGAACCTTGTTATACATGGCCAATTCTTCCTCAGTCGCCGGTTCGTCGTCATGTTCCAGACGATAGAGCCACAGCGACAGGATGATCATCAAATCTAGACCACACAAGGCGTGCTCAACGCTCCAGTTCGTCGGTGACGTGCGTGCAACCCAGCGCACGCCCTGAACCACGGCAATCTCAATGCAGTTGTAGCATTCTTGGATTACCTTGATCATCTCGCTGGACCGCTTGACCCGATCCCGAGCGCGGGACATGGCCGCCGCGACCTCGTACGACTCATGGTAGCGCAGTGCCTCCTGCACGGATTTCAGATCGACCTCCAGGCGAGCGCGCGCATTTCGGTACAGTGCCTTGGCGTTGAAGATAAGAGGGTGACCCTTGTGAGGGGCGCTCAACGGGACCGTGACATGCTCGGGCTCGCAAAGCTCTAGGGATTTCTCCCAGGTCTCGAGAGCAAGTCGGAGCTTGTACTCAGTCACAACGTCTTGAAGAGCCTCCGGACTCCGCTTGTGATACCACACTTCGAGGAACAGGGCATTGATCATAACCCGCGACGCAAACGCACTGTACCTGAGTGTCTCTCCCTGGAACAGATTGTCATGCGCTTCCATGAAGGTAGACATGGGCGACAGCTTCAAGCGCTCATGCCAAGCGGCCTCATCCGCAACCCTGATGTTCCAGAGCGCTTCAGAAGATGGGAGCTGCAAGTCCTCGAATTCGTTGAAGCTGATGGCAGGTGTATGGTTGTACGTCAGAGTGAGCAGGCCGAAGAAGATGTAGACGGCGTAGTAGGTACGACGGCAACCCTCGTCCTCGATCCATTCGTTGCGGGTTGGCTGAGCACCCTCGCGAGCCTCCTGACGGAGCTTCAGCTCGTACCTGTTTCCGGCGACCATGTTCGCGAGCAGGCTCTTGATGGAGCAAGCCCATTCGAGTCCTTTCGGGTCACCGCTCCAGCTGGCAAAGATCATGTTCAGCAGAGAGCCTTGCATGGTCCACAGCGGGCATTTGCGCGAGCTGAAGTTCTCCTTGTTAAGAAGGAACTGATTGACGAGCACCTTGGACCCGATGTGGAGCATGTACGCCTGGTCCTGGTCGAAAGCGTATAGTGCTCCGATACTGAGCACCGCGAGCAGTAGAGCCGGGGAAACCGTGGTTGAATCGAAAGATGCGGGGTGCAGAAATGGCAAGTGGTGGTGGAACAGCCCAAAGTATGTCGACAAGAAACGGTTCAAGTATGCCAAGCTGGGCAGACGGAAGCCTTCGGGGATGGCGTGCTCAGTGTCGTTGGCCCGAATGTTGTCGAGAATCAGATTGCGCTCGTCGTCGCTTGCGACCTGCGGTGCGCAGAAACCAGCGGAAGACATGGTAGCCTCGTTGGCGTAGGGGCTCTGCGGCACCGGTGTACCAGCTCCGGAGTTGGGCAAAGAGTTGATCATGGACTGGAGAGCCGGGACGAGGCCGTTGCATGTCTGGCCGTTGATTGGGGGCAGCTGAACGTTACGAGGCTGCATCGTGCTCCCGCTGTTGAATGATTGCTGAGACTCAAAGGAGCCCGACGCTGAGGAGGCAGTGGAGTGCGACTTGGGCTCAGAAGTCTGTGACATGAAACTCTCCCATTGCGGGACGGGTATGACGCCGCTGGCGTAAGCAACGGTGGGCTCCATGGCATGCGGCGAGTATGGCATCGATGGGCTACCTTCGTAATTGCTCCCGGCGGAACGGGCTCCGGCGGCGGCCTTGTGCTGGAAGTCCGCGACGAGCATCGCAGCGGTCTCAACATCGAGAGTGCCGTCGTGGGAAGCAGCTTCGAGCTGATCTATCGCCGACTGGTCAAGCATGGGTGTCTTTGCAGGGCCGCCGATGGCTCTCGTCTTGGGACCAGAGCGACGCTTGCCGTCGCTATGAAGAGGGACGCCACCATCTTTGGCGTGAACTGTTCGGTCATGTCGAAGGAGGAGATCGCGACGAACAAATGTGCTCCGGCACTTCATGCACTTGAAAGGACGCTCCTTGGTGTCTGCGGCGGATGGTCAGCATGATTGGTGAACAACAGTTGACGGTGGTGTATCGAGATTCGACGAGGGGTGTTTAGGTGCCCATCATTATGCGTTGAGAATCTAGGCGGACGACCGAGGCGGAAGGAGGGGTCGGCTGCTGTCGCGGGGGGTTCCCAGCACGACGGAAGCTTTGTGGGAAGAGGGGAGGGGTTCGGGGGAGGGAGAGGGGCTCGGGGAGTGCAACTTACGAGAGCGTTCATGTCTGCTGCGGTGTTCGCTTCTGCTGAATGCTCTGTTGCAGAACTGACACTTGTATTTGCGTTCCGGTGCGAGTGAGGCCTTGCGCGAGGCCGGTGTTGATGAAGCGGAAGTGGGAAGGACCGCAACGCTTGCGCCGGGCATCTTGACGGCTCGAGTCGTTGTCGCGTTTTTGTGTTTTTCTTTTTCGTTGCGAGGGATTAGAGTGGTGGTGGTCGAGTGGCTAGGGAAAGCTACCGCGACGGCGACGGCGAGGGCAACGGCCAAGACAAAAGTGCGAACGACTTGATCAGGACGACGGGTCTCGATGAATTATAACGATGGTTGAAATCGCCTGGCTCCTAGGTTCCTCCTCGCTCGGCGCGCTCCCGTAGGGTTTAAAGCGTGTCTTGATTAGACTGGTGGATGTTGCTGGTCATTTGGTTCGATATTCTGGTCATAGGAAGGACGTGTGGGTGATTGGGAGGGAAAAAGCTGGCTCGTAGCCAGTATATGAAGCGGCGTGTCTGGAGGCGACAGGCGCGCTTGAAAGGTGTTGATGCTGAGAAGCCGGAGAAGGCGAAGCCGTGTTGAGTTGCGTGTTGGAGATGAAGGATGATCACGAGAGTAGGAGGAGGGAGGAAGCGGAAGAGGGGAAGTCCAGGAAAAAGTAGGAGGGGAGGAAGAGGAGGAAGAGGACGCCTTGGTGAGAACGGTGGGGACGCTGGACTGCGACAGTGGGAGGGACGACGGCTGTATTGGAGGGGATGGGGGGGCAGGAGAGGGGAGTGGAGGGGAGCCCGAGAAGGAGGGAGATAGGTGGAAGTAGGTAGGTAGGTACCTACCTACCTTCCATTGCCTTACCTTAAGGAACCTAAGGTACCTACCTAGGTAGGTAGAGGAGGAGGGAGAGGAGGGAGGGAGGGGACGGGAGGCCACGCTCACGCTGAGGTGGTCGGAGCTGGCACTTCTCCCACCTCGCTGTAAAGAAGCGGGAAACAGACGGGATGGACAAACGCTATGGAAGGTACCTACGAAAAGGTACGTACTGCACTGCTAGTAGGTAAGGTACCTTAGGTACGAATACCTTACCTTACATCACTGATGGAAGACGGGCAGGTCAGGGGTCATGTGTACCTAAATGAGGCAGGGCAGGGCACGTAGGGTGAGGTACCTGATATCTACCTTTCTCGGACAGGGTAAGGGAAGGAGGGGGAGGGGGGGGGAGGGAAAAAAAAAAAAAGGAAAAGGAAAAAAAGGGCATCCAGGGCAGTCAGTAAATGGCAGGCATGTTCAGATATTCGTAATGGAAGGTAAGGAACCCGACCGACGTCTTGAAAGTAAGGTACCATAGTAGAGCAGAAGTACCTACTTTCCTACCTAGTTGCCCGTGTCGTAGCAAGGTGGGTCCCCGTGTCGATGGCTGAGGTGAGGTGGATGCCATGCACAGCGGACAGGACGGCGGGACTGCAGTCGGGTGTGCACACTGCCAATTCACATTGAGGTGGGCACTGCACCCATCGAGAGGAGAACAGAGTTCGTTCACCGGGCCACCAGAACAGAAAACATACCCGACCCGAATCTCTCCATCAGAATGAGCAAGGGAGGGGACATGGATGATGGCCGACGGGGACTGGGCCAGGCCAGAAGGGTGGAGGGGTGGAGTGGCGGACAAGTTTACACGGTACCTTACCCTGTACCTTAGGTAGGTAAGAGGAGGGGGGATTCGGGAAGCCCTGAAGTGGGAGTGGACGAGGGGAAGAAAGACGATGGACGCGACATCAGCAACTGGACAAGAGGTAGCAACAGCCCACAACGTGTAGGTAGGTCAACACCAGGGCCATCGTCCAGCAACAGCTGGTCAACTGCCAGCCCACCGTCCCCGTCCCCGTCCACGTCCACGTCCACGGCTTCGTAGGGCAAGTCACCGGTGTGGTGGAGAGGGGACGAGGGAGGGAGGGAATCTGGGCTACGGATAGACAGACATGGCATGGACAGACTGCAATATTTGTGGGCGGGAGACACTTTGAACTCCCATGAGGTCGTTGACATGCTCCTGTCGCTGCTACATAGTACAGTTCGCAGTTCTGTATCTCGTCGGATTGGGCAACCAAGGTACGGTAAAGAGTTCTCGTCGGCATCGTAAGCGGAGGCAGAGACGAAAGCGGGAGCGGAAGCGGGTGTCATGATGCTAGCCTTCATGAACGGATGGGATTGGAAGCTGTTGTCGTGCTGTCCGGTCGTGTTCAATATCGGTTGTTGCTGTCCCGTCCCGCCCAGTCCAGTCCAGTCCAGTCCAGTCAAGAATCTATCCGTGGTAAGGTAGGTGAGGTGTTCAATCGAGGTCGCTGCACGCGCACACAGCCCACATAAAATATGAGCTCGCCGGACCACCTTAGGTACGTACACACACCGGTACACGTGCTGTATCCCTTCGGATCCCACTTTTATGTCATCCAATTGCAAGCCCAGGGAAGGATAAAAAAAAAAAAAAGGAAAAGGGCAAGTATGAATACCTTACCTTGCCTAGGTACCTACGGCGGGGATCCCTTACCCCGAGCAGCTAAGGTACAAGAGCTATGTAAGCTGCACCGAAAATCAATGTATTGCGGGGGAATAGCTTGCTTCACTTCTTTCAAGCCTAGAAGCCGCGGTCTTGCAATCGCCAAGATGGAACTCTGGCATACGGGCTTCAATCGGCTCAGAGATGTTGTTTGTGGACTCGAGCAATCTTGTTAGAACTTTCTCGGAACCAGAGTCATTAATGTTGCAGTACAGAACACCCGTCATCTCATCTGATACACGAGAAACGAGGAATCTAAAAAGAGTCTCGCTGCTATCTCAATCCAAGACAAAAAAATTTACCGGCCGCGAATAAGTAATAAAGGAAGGAGGGAGGGACAACCACCTCAATGATTGGATCTTTCGGACGGGAAACACGCACTCCTATTAACAGATACCACGACCACGGAACACGTCGCGACACGGATCTCACGCTGAAGTGGGGCGTCACTCCTTCTTCTCTCACTCTCTCCCGTCTCTTTCTCTCTCTCTCTTCCCCTTTTTATTTTTTTTTAATTTTTGTTATTTTTGTTAGTTTGTTTTTGGTCCACCTCCATCAGGTGGATGAAGAGTTCTTTTCATGGGATAACTCGAGAGCATTTGTCTCTGTGCGCCACACCACGCTCAAGTACCTACCTCTCCAGCTTGACCAAAATTTCCTCACTGTCGCGTCAAATCCGTGCCATGACACGCCAGACACCCCGGGTGGATTGGTTGATACCTACGGATGCAATTCCCATGCCCTGGCACGCAGCCGACCCGTCCGGAGCACATCCATCACAAACATCCCCTGCCACCCACAAGAACCTGGTAAGGGGGACAGGGGAATAAATGGCAGCGGAGGGCCGGGTTATGGGACATCTCATGGATGAGTGCTGGGGCATCTTAGGGGGAGAGCGAGCACAACACCCTACCAAGGAACGGATACGCCGCCCATGGCCGGTCTGGAGTCTCCAGACTCCAGCAGGCGTGTGTCAATGGCTCTTGTCCCTCACCTCGCAGTAGGGCGAGGTCAGCGAAACAGCAAACAGTACTCTGTACCATGCTCGAGCGGACACGATGGGCTGGTTTGCGGATACAGTGGACTGAACCAACGCCGTGGTACGCAACGCTAAGGCAAGCACTGCTGTGCTGGTCTCGAATTCCCTGGGCCAGATGACGGGGAATCCCTCGTCTGCGAAGCGGTTGGCTGGCTGAAGACGGGAGCATACCTAGGGGGACATGAGCTAAGTGTAGGTGGACGAAGGTGAGCAGAGGTGTGCGGTGAGGTGAGGCAATCAAATCGCAATACCTATGAAGCCTGAGGAACACCGTACCCGCCTCAGTTCGTCCCGTCCCCATTGTTCGCTCATGTGCTTGAGGCATGCTACAGCGATTCAAGGGCCTCGACTACACTACCAACTATGTACTTACATAGGTATGCAGATGGATACCACTGTCCCACGTCGCACTCAAGCATCGATGCATCATGAGGCAAGTATCCATCCTCCGGTTCGCTGCTTCATAACTTGCTTCTCATTGCTAACCTTTCCTGTCTAGGTGCCGACGAACCGAGGGTTGACGTCGCGTCGTCGTCCTTACGGAAACAGGGAGCACCGAGGATTCGAGGAACCGCCGAACAAGGGCGCAACAGGCAAAAGGAACGCGACGGGGAAAAGAGATTGCAATCACCAACGACTTGGAGCAATGGAGCTCCTCGAGGTCGCTCGCTGCCCCTCCCGGTCTAGCCTTGCCAAATCCCGGACCGCCAATTCGGTTGGCAATTTCGCCCTGGCTTCCGGAAGGGAGGAAGATGTCCAAGCTTGCCAGATTACGAGGGGGCTGGCACAAGCCCATTGCTTCGACTGCTTCCAGCAATGCTTCCATCGCCGAGCTTCTTGTCCTTCTATCACTGGGGGCCACCCGAGACTGGAGCAAAAAGAGTCTGGTGTCACGAGTGATTGTCGCCGTTTCGTGTCCTGAGGCTGCCGAAAGACCACCGACACTGCGACCTCATGTCCCCAGCGGGCCAGGAACCCTGGGCAAGCCAGGCTCTGCACATAGTGCAGTGTACACACTACCATGCGGTAGTGGCAGCGGTAGCGGCAGCTACCTAGTCACTAGTGACGTTAGACCAGCTAAAAAGGGGGACAGGCAGTCTTCGACTTCAGAAGTTCAGATGCCAGGAGAGGTGCGGAGAGGAAGAAAAAATGCCCCCCCCCCCCCCGGTCCGGATGGCTCTGACCAATAGGCAAGCACCCCGTCTCCCGGTCCCCGGACGTATGCATGCCCGTACTTAATTGTGCTGGCACTGGATACGTATCTGCCCAGGAAAAAGAAGTCGGAGAACGCGACCGCAACCACGAGCGCGACAGGGCACGATGGTACTTGGGCGATACGTGTCTGGTCTGCACGCACTAACGCGCGCCGGCGGATTGCATGCTTGTTCCCAAGGACGGGCAGCGGGCGGCTTGTCACTCCCAGCGGTGAGAAGAGGTACCCATGAGTATCCCCATTAGCCGGCTTACACCGCAGATGCTCGAGTGTCTGTACCCTACGCGGTCTCCAACACACGTGTGAGTGCGAGTAGGTACGGATATTCTTTACAGAACGAACACCGTACC